CTGCCAAGGCAACATTGCCACGGACCCCAAGCTGTGTTCCTGTCAAGGCAACATTGCCACGGACCCCAAGCTGTGTTCCTGCCAAGGCAACATTTCCACGGACCCCAAGCTGTGTTCCTGCCAAGGCAACATTGCCACGGACCCCAAGCTGTGTTCCTGCCAAGGCAACATTGCCACGGACCCCAAGCTGTGTTCCTGCCAAGGCAACATTGCCACGGACCCCAAGCTGTGTTCCTGCCAAGGCAACATTGCCACGGACCCCAAGCTGTGTTCCTGTCAAGGCAACATTGCCACGGACCCCAAGCTGTGTTCCTGCCAAGGCAACATTGCCACGGACCTCAAGCTATGTTCCTGCCAAGGCAACATTGCCACGGACCCCAAGCTGTGTTCCTGCCAAGGCAACATTGCCACGGACCCCAAGCTGTGTTCCTGCCAAGGCAACATTGCCACTGACCCCAAGCTGTGTTCCTGCCAAGGCAACATTGCCACGGACCCCAAGCTGTGTTCCTGCCAAGGCAACATTGCCACGGACCCCAAGCTGTGTTCCTGCCAAGGCAACATTGCCACGGACCCCAAGCTGTGTTCCTGCCAAGGCAACATTGCCACGGACCCCAAGCTGTGTTCCTGCCAAGGCAACATTGCCACGGACCCCAAGCTGTGTTCCTGCCAAGGCAACATTGCCACGGACCCCAAGCTGTGTTCCTGCCAAGGCAACATTGCCACGGACCCCAAGCTGTGTTCCTGCAAAGGCAACATTGCCACGGACCCCAAGCTGTGTTCCTGCCAAGGCAACATTGCCACGGACCCCAAGCTGTGTTCCTGTCAAGGCAACATTGCCACGGAACCCAAGCTGTGTTCCTGCCAAGGCAACATTGCCACGGACCCCAAGCTGTGTTCCTGCCAAGGCAACATTGCCACGGACCTCAAGCTGTGTTCCTGCCAAGGCAACATTGCCACGGACCCCAAGCTGTGTTCCTGCCAAAGCAACATTGCCACGGACCCCAAGCTGTGTTCCTGCCAAGGAAACATTGCCACGGACCCCAGGCTGTGTTCCTGCCAAGGCAACATTGCCACGGACCCCAAGCTGTGTTCCTGCCAAGGCAACATTGCCACGGACCCCAACCTGTGTTCCTGCCAAGGCAACATTGCCACGGACCCCAACCTGTGTTCCTGCCAAGGCAACATTGCCACGGACCCCAAGCTGTGTTCCTGCCAAGGCAACATTGCCACGGACCCCAAGCTGTGTTCCTGCCAAGGCAACATTGCCACGGACCCCAAGCTGTGTTCCTGCCAAGGCAACATTGCCACGGACCCCAAGCTGTGTTCCTACCAAGGCAACATTGCCACGGACCCCAAGCTGTGTTCCTGCCAAGGCAACATTGCCACGGACCCCAAGCTGTGTTCCTGTCAAGGCAACATTGCCACGGACCCCAAGCTGTGTTCCTGCCAAGGCAACATTGCCACGGACCCCAAGCTGTGTTCCTGCCAAGGCAACATTGCCACGGACCCCAACCTGTGTTCCTGCCAAGGCAACATTGCCACGGACCTCAAGCTGTGTTCCTGCCAAGGCAACATTGCCACGGACCCCAAGCTGTGTTCCTGCCAAAGCAACATTGCCACGGACCCCAAGCTGTGTTCCTGCCAAAGCAACATTGCCACGGACCCCAAGCTGTGTTCCTGCCAAGGAAACATTGCCACGGACCCCACGCTGTGTTCCTGCCAAGGCAACATTGCCACGGACCCCAAGCTGTGTTCCTGCCAAGGCAACATTGCCACGGACCCCAACCTGTGTTCCTGCCAAGGCAACATTGCCACGGACCCCAACCTGTGTTCCTGCCAAGGCAACATTGCCACGGACCCCAAGCTGTGTTCCTGCCAAGGCAACATTGCCACGGACCCCAAGCTGTGTTCCTGCCAAGGCAACATTGCCACGGACCCCAAGCTGTGTTCCTGCCAAGGCAACATTGCCACGGACCCCAAGCTGTGTTCCTGCCAAGGCAACATTGCCACGGACCCCAAGCTGTGTTCCTGCCAAGGCAACATTGCCACGGACCCCAAGCTGTGTTCCTGTCAAGGCAACATTGCCACGGACCCCAAGCTGTGTTCCTGCCAAGGCAACATTGCCACGGACCCCAAGCTGTGTTCCTGCCAAGGCAACATTGCCACGGACCCCAACCTGTGTTCCTGCCAAGGCAACATTGCCACGGACCCCAAGCTGTGTTCCTGCCAAGGCAACATTGCCACGGACCCCAAGCTGTGTTCCTGCCAAGGCAACATTGCCACGGACCCCAAGCTGTGTTCCTGCCAATGCAACATTGCCACGGACCCCAAGCTGTGTTCCTGCCAAGGCAACATTGCCACGGACCCCAAGCTGTGTTCCTGTCAAGGCAACATTGCCACGGACCCCAAGCTGTGTTCCTGCCAAGGCAACATTGCCACGGACCCCAAGCTGTGTTCCTGTCAAGGCAACATTGCCACGGACCCCAAGCTGTGTTCCTGCCAAGGCAACATTGCCACGGACCCCAACCTGTGTTCCTGCCAAGGCAACATTGCCACGGACCCCAAGCTGTGTTCCTGCCAAGGCAACATTGCCACGGACCCCAAGCTGTGTTCCTGCCAAGGCAACATTGCCACGGACCCCAAGCTGTGTTCCTGCCAAGGCAACATTGCCACGGACTCCAAGCTGTGTTCCTGCCAAGGCAACATTGCCACGGACCCCAAGCTGTGTTCCTGCCAAGGCAACATTGCCACGGACCCCAAGCTGTATTCCTGCCAAGGCAACATTGCCACGGACCCCAAGCTGTGTTCCTGCCAAGGCAACATTGCCACGGACCCCAAGCTGTGTTCCTGCCAAGGCAACATTGCCACGGACCCCAAGCTGTGTTCCTGCCAAGGCAACATTGCCACGGACCCCAAGCTGTGTTCCTGCCAAGGCAACATTGCCACGGATCCCAAGCTGTGTTCCTGCCAAGGCAACATTGCCACGGACCCCAAGCTGTGTTCCTGCCAAGGCAACATTGCCACGGACTCCAAGCTGTGTTCCTGCCAAGGCAACATTGCCACGGACCCCAACCTGTGTTCCTGCCAAGGCAACATTGCCACGGACCCCAAGCTGTGTTCCTGCCAAGGCAACATTGCCACGGACCCCAAGCTGTGTTCCTGCCAAGGCAACATTGCCACGGACCCCAAGCTGTGTTCCTGCCAAGGCAACATTGCCACGGACTCCAAGCTGTGTTCCTGCCAAGGCAACATTGCCACGGACCCCAAGCTGTGTTCCTGCCAAGGCAACATTGCCACGGACCCCAAGCTGTATTCCTGCCAAGGCAACATTGCCACGGACCCCAAGCTGTGTTCCTGCCAAGGCAACATTGCCACGGACCCCAAGCTGTGTTCCTGCCAAGGCAACATTGCCACGGACCCCAAGCTGTGTTCCTGCCAAGGCAACATTGCCACGGACCCCAAGCTGTGTTCCTGCCAAGGCAACATTGCCACGGACCCCAAGCTGTGTTCCTGCCAAGGCAACATTGCCACGGATCCCAAGCTGTGTTCCTGTCAAGGCAACATTGCCACGGACCCCAAGCTGTGTTCCTGCCAAGGCAACATTGCCACGGACCCCAAGCTGTGTTCCTGCCAAGGCAACATTGCCACGGACCCCAACCTGTGTTCCTGCCAAGGCAACATTGCCACGGACCCCAAGCTGTGTTCCTGGAAAACTTCACGGAGATCGTCAAGACGGCCAAGGGTCGTGAATGAAGAGTCCTCTGTGTGGACTTCAGTGGGGGCCGTCTGGCCGGGCAGCAGAGACACGAGAGAGGCCAAGAAACGACATTCCAGTCGTGGGCTGAGCTCAAAGACGCCTTTTGACGCCTTTTGGCGTCATCTGGTCGAGCACCAATTGGGTCGAGGCTCAAAAGAAAGCCGTCCCTTGGTGTGGACCAATCAGTATCAAGGACAATGCATATATTATCATAGTATGTGTTTTGTTTGCATTTTGACTGCAGGTATTGTGGTTAATGCAGACATGAATCCTTGTAAAAAGGTTTCAGTTTTTTTTGCCAGAAAAAAGGGGAAAAACCCTATTATTATATGATGCTTCTGTTTTTGTGGAGTAACTCATGCAGCCAGCTATGGCTCTAGGATTTGGTGTTACATGTTATTTATGTTGTTTATTATAAAAATTCGGTCACAGTCCCTATGATCACTGTTAATTTGCATTTATGGCTTAATTTTTTGGTGATTTCGAAAACGTTTTTTTGGTTTGGACATGTTTGTTTTATTGTAGTACGGAGTTAGACTGATGGCCTTAATCTAAGTTTTTTTGTTGTTGTTTGACTTGTATCCGAAATTGGATTTTTTTGCACACAGCGTTGGTGGTGTACGGTGATTTTTTTCAGGAATATTTTTTGCTGGTTTTTTTTTCCCATAGATTTTCTGTTTTGCACAGTCAACACATTAGTTACTTTAAGATGTTTTTCTTGTTAGTGTTGTTGTTTTTTTTGTTTGTTGCGGTTGCACCCGATTCAAGAGCCGAATGGCTCACAGGGCTATACCAACATAAAGAAAACTGAAACTAAAGAAACTGTTCGCCCATCCATCCACCAGTCCGCCCGCCCATCTATTCGCCCGTTCGCCCTCCTGTCTGTTCATCTGTCCGTTTGTCCGCCTGTCCGTCCGCCCGCCCGTCCGCCTGTCCGTTCGTCCTCCCGCCTGTTTGTCCATCTGTCCGTTCGTCCCTCCGTCCGTCCGCCCCTCCGCCCGCCCATCTATTTGTCCGTTCGCCCTCCTGTCTGTTCATCTGTCCGTTTGTCCGCCTGTCCGTCCGCCCGTCCGTTCGTCCTCCCGCCTGTTTGTCCGCCCCTCCGTCCGTCCGCCCCTCCGTCCGCCCGTCCCCACGCTTCCCGTCCGCCGTCCCGTGCCCCGTCGGCCGCCACGCTCCTTGCGTGTCGCCGCCCGCTTGAGTGCCTCTGTGTGCGTTGCCGCCGCTGCGCGTGCGTGCGCAGAGAGGGGCGGACGTGGAGGCGGTGGACAAGCGGGGCTGGCCGGCGCTGCTGCACTGCACCTGCACGGGGCACCAGCACATGGTGCGCCTGCTGCTGGAGCACGGAGCGGACGCCAACGTGCGGTGAGAGCCGGCGGCTCCACCCACCGCCCCCCCCCAACCCCTCACCGCACCTCGAGCCACGGGCCGACCGGTTTTTGGACGACCGGTGCTCGGCGTTCGGCGGCCAAGCGCGCCGAGCGCGAATCGCGACCCTCGGCGGTTCTGCGCCGTGGGGGGGCTTCGTAGCTCCGGCCGCTCGATAAACCGCTGCACCGCCGCTCCCCCGCCCTCCCCCGCCCCGCTCCCCCACCCCGCTCCCCCCACCACCCACAGAGAGACCATCTACGGCCACACGCCGCTGATGGAGGCCGCGATGGCCGGCCACGAGATCATCGTCCAGTACCTGCTGAAGAAGGTGAGCGCCGAGACGCGGCACGGGCACCCGGCAGCGGCCGCCGGGCAGCTGCGGCATCGACGCGCGTCACGTGACGCACGTGTGTCACGTGACGCACGTGTGACACGTGACGCACGTGTGACACGTGACACACGTGACACACGTGTGTCCGGGGCTGCGACGTGAACAGCAAATGGTTGCATCTGCCACCCCCGCTCGCTTGCTGATCTCCAACAAATAAACCACCCACCCACACGCATCCACCCACACTCGCCCACCCTTACCCACCCACACCCACCCACCCACCCACACCCACCCACCCACACTCGCCCAGCCATTCCCACCCATACCCACACCCGCCCATGCCCACGAGCTCACTAAGAGCTCTGAACCCTTGACAAGTTTCTCTGCCAAGGCTACCGGCGTGGTTGGGTGGGGTGACCGCACGTAACCCCTTCTCTGTGTCTATGGTGGTCCGCGTCCCACAAGGCATGCCAAAGCGGGGTGGGTGGGTTGGTGGGTTTGTGGGTGGGTTGGTGGGTTGGTGGGTGGGTGGGTTTGTGAGTGGGTTTGTGGATGGGTTGGTGGGTTTGTGGGTGGGTTGGTGGGTTTGTGCGTGGTTTGGTGGGTGTGTGGGTGGGTTCGTGGGTTTGTGGGTGGGTGGGTTTGTGGTGGGTTAGTGGGTTTGTAGGTGGGTTAGTGGGTTTGTTGGTGGGTGAGTTTGTGGGTGGGTTTGTGGGTGGGTTTGTGGGTGGGTGAGTTTGTGGGTGGGTTGGTGGGTTGGTGGGTGGGTGGGTTTGTGGGTGGGTGGGTTTGTGGGTGGGTGAGTTTGTTGGTGGGTTAGTGGGTTTGTGGGTGGGTGGGTTTGTGGGTGGGTTAGTGGGTTTGTGGGTGGGTGGGTTTGTGGGTGGGTGGGTTTGTGTGTGGGTTTGTTGGTGGGTGGGTTTGTTGGTGGGTTTTTGGGTGGGTGGGTTTGTTGGTGGGTGGGTTTGTGGGTGGGTTGGTGGGTGGGTTGGTGGGTTTGTGGGTGGGTGGGTTTGTGGGTGGGTGGGTTTGTGGGTGGGTGGGTTTGTTGGTGGGTGGGTTTGTGGGTGGGTTGGTGGGTGGGTTGGTGGGTTTGTGGGTGGGTGGCTTTGTGGGTGGGTTTGTTGGTGGGTGAGTTTGTGGGTGGGTTTGTGGCTGGGTGGGTTTGTGGGTGGGTGGGTTTGTGGGTGGGTGGGTTTGTGGGTGGGTGGGTTTGTTGGTGGGTGGGTTTGCGGTTGGGTTCGTGGGTTTGTGGATGGGTGGGTTCACGCGTTGATTGGTTTATGGTTTGGGTGGGTTTGCGGGTGGATGGGTTTGTGCTTTGGTCGGTTGGTGGGTGGGTGGCTCGGTGGGTGAGTTCGGTGGGTGGGTGGGTGGCTTGGTGGGTGGCTTGGTGGGTGAGTTCGGTGGGTGGGTGGCTTGGTGGGTGGATTGGTGGGTGAGTTCGGCGGGTGGGTGGGTGGCTTGGTGGGTGAGTTCGGTGGGTGGGTGGCTTGGTGGGTGGATTGGTGGGTGAGTTCGGTGGGTGGGTGGCTTGGTGGGTGAGTTCGGTGGGTGGGTGGCTTGGTGGGTGGATTGGTGGGTGAGTTCGGTGGGTGGGTGGGTGGCTTGGTGGGTGGCTTGGTGGGTGAGTTCGGTGGGTGGGTGGCTTGGTGGGTGGATTGGTGGGTGAGTTCGGTGGGTGGGTGGCTTGGTGGGTGAGTTCGGTGGGTGGGTGGCTTGGTGGGTGGATTGGTGGGTGAGTTCGGTGGGTGGGTGGCTTGGTGGGTGAGTTCGGTGGGTGGGTGGCTTGGTGGGTGGCTTGGTGGGTGAGTTCGGTGGGTGGGTGGGTGGCTTGGTGGGTGAGTTCGGTGGGTGGGTGGATTGGTGGGTGAGTTCGGCGGGTGGGTGGGTGGCTCGGTGGGTGAGTTCGGTGGCTTGGTGGGTGAGTTCGGTGGGTGGGTGGCTTGGTGGGTGGATTGGTGGGTGAGTTCGGTGGGTGGGTGGCTTGGTGGGTGGATTGGTGGGTGAGTTCGGCGGGTGGGTGGGTGGCTTGGTGGGTGAGTTCGGTGGGTGGGTGGCTTGGTGGGTGGATTGGTGGGTGAGTTCGGTGGGTGGGTGGCTTGGTGGGTGAGTTCGGTGGGTGGGTGGCTTGGTGGGTGGATTGGTGGGTGAGTTCGGCGGGTGGGTGGGTGGCTTGGTGGGTGAGTTCGGTGGGTGGGTGGCTTGGTGGGTGGATTGGTGGGTGAGTTCGGTGGGTGGGTGGCTTGGTGGGTGGATTGGTGGGTGAGTTCGGTGGGTGGGTGGCTTGGTGGGTAGCTTGGTGGGTGAGTTCGGCGGGTGGGTGGGTGGCTTGGTGGGTGAGTTCGGTGGGTGGGTGGCTTGGTGGGTAGCTTGGTGGGTGAGTTCGGTGGGTGGGTGGGTGGCTCGGTGGGTGAGTTCGGTGGGTGGGTGGGTGGCTTGGTGGGTGGATTGGTGGGTGAGTTCGGTGGGTGGGTGGGTGGCTTGGTGGGTGAGTTTGGTGGGTGGGTGGGTGAGTTTGGTGGGTGGGTGGCTTGGTGGTGAGTTCGGTGGGTGGGTGGCTTGGTGGGTGAGTTCGGTGGGTGGGTGGGTGGCTTGGTGGGTGAGTTTGGTGGGTGGGTGGCTTGGTGGGTGAGTTTGGTGGGTGGGTGGGCGAGGGTGACCGCCCCCCCGCCCCCCCGACCCCCCGGCGTGTGTCCGTGCTGCGGCAGGGCGTGCGGGCGCGCGACGCCGACCGCTCCGGGGAGACGGCGCGCAGCCTGGCCATGATGTTCGGCCACACCAAGGTGGTGGGGATGATCGACGCAGCGCTGGTGGCGGCCCCGCACCCCCGCTCCGTGCGCCGCGCCCCTGGTGAGCGAGCGGCCTTGGCCCCCTCCCCCCCCTCCCCCCCAACCGCCAACCGCCAACCGCCACGCGTAGAGGCACGTGGACTCACATCCCCCCTCTCCCCCCCCCCAACTCTCTAACCCCCCCTCCAGCCCCGCTAACGGCACCCCACCCACCCCCACAGGCTGTGGGTGGGTGCCGTTTGTAGTAATGTAGTGTGTAGTGTATAGTGTGTAGTGTATAGTGTAGTGTATAGTGTAGTGTAGTGTGTAGTGTAGTGTATAGTGTAGTGTGTAGTGTTTAGTAGTGTAGTGTGTAGTAGTGTAGTGTATAGTGTAGTGTATAGTGTAGTGTATAGTGTAGTGTAGTGTGTAGTGTAGTGTATAGTGTAGTGTGTAGTGTTTAGTAGTGTGTAGTGTATAGTGTAGTGTAGTGTGTAGTGTAGTTTATAGTAGTGTATAGTGTAGTGTATAGTAGTGTATAGTGTAGTGTGTATTGTATAGTAGTGTATTGTAGTGTATAGTGGAGTATATAGTGTAGTGTATAGTGTAGTGTCTAGAGTAGTGTAGTGTATAGTAATGTAGTGTAGTGTATAGTAATGTAGTGTATAGTGTAGTGTATAGTAGTGTCTAGAGTAGTGTGTATAGTAATGTAGTGTAGTGTATAGTAATGTAGTGTGTAGTGTAGTGTATAGTAGTGTAGTGTCTAGAGTAGTGTAGTGTATAGTAATGTAGTGTAGTGTATAGTTATGTAGTGTGTAGTGTAGTGTATAGTAGTGTAGTGTCTAGAGTAGTATCGTGTGTGGTCGTGTACTGTATAGTAGTTTAGTGTGTAGTGTATATGATTGTAGTGTATAGTGTAGTGTATAGTAGTGTAATGTATAGTAGTGTAGTGTATTGTAGTGTGTAGTGTATAGTAGTGTATAATGTACTATATAGTAGTGTATAGTGTAGTGTACAGTAGTGTATAGTGTAGTGTACAGTAGTGCATAGTGTAGTGTATAGTAGTGTAGTGTGTAGTGTAGTGTATAGTAGTGTATAGAGTAGTGTACAGTAGTGTATAGTGTAGTGTATAGTCTAGTGTGTATTGTAGTGTGTATAGAAGTGTATAGTGTAGTGTATAGTGTAGTGTAGTGTATAGTGTAGTGTATAGTGTAGTGTATAGTAGTATATAGTGTAGTGTACAGTAGTGTATAGTGTAGTGTATAGTATACTGTACTAGTACAGCACTAGTGTATAGTGTAGTGTATAGTGGAGTGTATAGTAGTTTATAGTGTAGTGTACAGTAGTGTATAGTGTAGTGTATAGTGTAGTGTATAGTAATATATAGTGTAGTGTATAGTGTTGTGTATAGTGTAGTGTGTAGTGTATAGTGTAGTGTACAGTTTTGTATAGTGTAGTATATAGTGTAGTGTATAGTGTAGTGTATAGTGTAGTATACTAGTACAGCACTAGTGTATAGTGTAGTGTATAGTGTAGTTTATAGTGTAGTGTATAGTGTAGTGTATAGTGTAGTATACTAGTACAGCACTAGTGTATAGTGAAGTGTATAGTGTAGTGTATAGTGTAGTCTGGCGAATTGCCCGATGATGCTGGAGGTATTTACCAGCGAAACGTCGTACTCAAACTGTAAATGTGGATTGACTCTTCAACACACCGGTGGGCTGAAGTAGTGAATTATTTGTCTTTTGTCAACGTGACACTTTTTTTGCTGATTGGCAGTGTCGGGTGGTGGAGGGTTACGACACATTTATAAATAAACGCGATCTAACCCAAAAACCTTTATTATGAAAAATATTGGTCGCGAAAGCCTACGTGTTAAACTGTAGTATACTAGTACAGCACTAGTATATAGTGTAGTGTATAGTGTAGTGTATAGTGTAGTGTGTAGTGTATAGTGTAGTGTATAGTGAATGAAGAGTGTCGGTGACTGCCGGGATGGGGGAATGAATGAAGAGTGTCGGTGACTGCCAGGACGGAGGAATGAATGAATGAAGAGTGTCGTGACTGCCCGGACAGGAGAATGAATGAAGATTGTCGGTGACTGCCGGGATGGGAGAATGAATGAATGAATGAGGAGTGTCGTGGGTGCGTTGCAGCGCTGTCAGTTGACCTGAGCAGTTCGGACGAGTGGAGCGAGGGGTCGACCGCGGGTGGCCGCAGAGGGCCCAGCATCCACGACGGGCCACAGGCACTGGCCCAGCTCACCAGGATCGGCACCGACGGTGACGCTCGCTTACTCGGATACGCAGGCGCTCACGCACGCACACAATCACACTCACACACACTCACACACACACTCACTCACACACACTCACACACACACTCACACACACACACTCACACACACTCACACACACACTCACACACACTCACACACACTCACACACACACACACAGACACACACACACAGACACACACACTCACACTCATTCACACACACTTACACACATTCACACACACTCACTCACACACACAGACACACACACACAGACACACACACTCACACACACTCACACTCACTCACACACACTTACACACACTCACACACACGCACGCACTCACACACTCACACAACAACAACAACAACCGCCATTCGCCACTAAGTGGCGGTGACGTCACCACGATGCTTGTGCCAGGCTATGTGCACCCTGAGGCCACGTGAAGTGTCGAACGCCCGCTGGCAGGAGGTCACGGGGCAGACCCAGGTGCCACGGGTCGACTGACTGAGATGACTGGCTGATGCACCACCTGTGCCCCCTACTGTGCCAACCTGCTGTGCTTTAGCCACCCGGCGCTCCGCTCGCTGTTGTGTGCGTCGCTCCTCCGCCCTCCGTTGTTGTCGGAGGGCGACTGCCTCCAACTGCCCAGTAGCATCCTTCACGAGCCTCCTCCACAGAGGCCGATCTTGACACCGCTGGTACCAGTCATCGGCAAGTCCACTCAGCTCCACGTCCTCCTGTACCACATCACTCCATCTCTTCTCTAGCCCGTGCCGCGCCCGCTTAGCCCCCTCAATCCGGCCAAACAAAAGCTGTTTCGGCATGCGGTGGCTGGGCATGCGGGCTACATGACCCAGCCATCGCAGCCTTGCCTGCCGGAGGAGCTCACCGATGGGACCCTGCCCAGATCTTTCAAGGATTTGTGAGCTCCTCACACAATCCAGTCTGGTTAAACCCAGGATGCATCGTAGGCAGGTCAGCCTAAATGTTTCTAACCGGCGAAGATGTTCCATTAGGGGGGTCCACGTTTCGCAAGCGTAGAGAACGGAGGGAATGACCGTGGCCGAGAAGACCTGAAGCTTAGTGCGGAGCGACAGACCAGGTAGCTTCCACACAGCGTTACGCAACCGATGAAAAGATATTGCCGCTCGACTGATTCGGAGTGAGACCTCTGCTGTTAAACTGGAGCCAGTCATAAGCACACTGCCCAGGTATGGGAAACTCTCCACTCTCTCCACAACTGCCCCATCACCGATTGGGAGTTGTGGGGGTGGAGTGTCCGATGGTACAAAATACCCAAGCAGGTGCTTAGTTTTGGTGGGGCTGATGGTAAGGCCCCACCTCTTAGTGGCACGCTCCAGTCTCAGCAGCAGCGTCTCCAACTCCTCCTCTGACTGAAACCACGAGTTAAACACACTCACACACACACACAGACACACACACAACAACAACAACCGCCATTCGCCACTAAGTGGCGGTGACGTCACCACGACGCTTGTGCCAGGCTATGTGCACCCTGAGGCCATGTGAAGTGTCGAACGCCCGCTGGCAGGAGGGCACGGGGCAGACCCAGGTGCCACGGGTCGACTGACTGAGATGACTGGCTGATGCACCACCTGTGCCCCCTACTGTGCCAACCTGCTGTGCTTTAGCCACCCGGCGCTCCGCTCGTTGTTCTGAGCGTCGTTCCTCCGCCCTCCGTTGTTGTTGGAGGGCGACTACCTCCAACTGCCCAGTAGCGTCCTTCACGAGCCTCCACCACAGAAACCGATCTTGACACCGCTGGTACCAGTCATCGGCAAGTCCACTCAGCTCCACGTCCTCCTGTACCACATCACTCCATCTCTTCTCTAGCCCGTGCCGCGCCCGCCTAGCCCCCTCGATCCAGCCGAACAAAAGCTGTTTCGGCATGCGGTGGCTGGGCATGCGGGCTACATGACCCAGCCATCGCAGCCTTCCCCGCCGGAGGAGCTCACCGATGGGACCTTGCCCAGATCTTTCAAGGATTTGTGAGCTCCTCACACAATCCAGTCTGGTTAAACCCAGGAGAGATCGTAGGCTGGCCAGCCTAAATGTTTCTAACCGGCGAAGATGTTCCATTAGGGGGGTCCACGTTTCGCAAGCGTAGAGAAGGGAGGGAATGACCGTGGCCGAGAAGACCTGAAGCTTAGTGCGGAGCGACAGACCAGGTAGCTTCCACACAGCGTTATGCAACCGATGAAAAGATATTGCCGCTCGACTGATTCGGAGTGAGACCTCTGCTGTTAAACTGGAGCCAGTCATAAGCGCACTGCCCAGGTATGGGAAACTCTCCACTCTCTCCACAACTGCCCCATCACCGATTGGGAGTTGTGGGGATGGAGTGTCCGATGGTACAAAATACCCAGGCAGGTGCTTAGTTTTGGTGGGGCTGATGGTAAGGCCCCACCTCTTAGTGGCACGCTCCAGTCTCAGCAGCAGTGTCTCCAACTTGTCCTCTGAATGAGCAGCTATTACCAAATCATCAGCATACATAACGTGGTTGAGCAATAGGGAGCCATCCCTTGACCGCACCTGGGCATCGATCAGCCTCCCATTATATCTGTACCACATGGAGATTCCCCCAGTACAGCTATTGAAGGCTTCATGAACTACGTGGTCAAAATAGATGTTAAACAATTTGGGAGCCAGAGGACATTCCTGTCGCACCCCAAGGTGTACAGGGAATGGCTCTGACTCCCGGCCACGTAGTTTTACCCGGGCCCGCTCACCATCATGAAGGTCCTTAATGATCGTGAGCAGAGGGTCAGGTACTCCAAAAGCACGAAGAACAACCCAGAGCCCAGGCCTACTGATGGTATCATAGGCCTTGACCAGGTCAATAAAGCAGAGATGTAGGTCTTGCTGGAATTCCCTACACCTCTGCTGTAGCAGACGGACAGAAAATATGGTATCTGTGCAGGACCGCCCTTTCCTGAAACCGCATTGGGGCTCCGCAAGCCTCTCCTCAGCGTGCCTAGCAAGGCGATGTTGAATAATCCTTGCCAGGACCCACCAGCACACCCACCCACACACCCACCAACACACCCACCCACACACCCACCCACACACCCACCCACACACCCACCCACCAACACACCCACCCACACCAACCCACCCACACCAACCCAAATACCCACCGACCCATACTCACCCACCCATACACCCACTCACCAACACACCCACCCACCAATACACCCACCCACACCAACCCACCCACACACCCACCCACCAATACACCCACCCACACCAACCGACACCCATCCACCACCACACCCACCCACACCAACCCACCCACCCACACCAACCCACCCACACCAACCCACCCACACCAACCCAAATACCCACCGACCCATACTCATCCACCCACACCCATCCACACCCACACTTACCCACCCACCCACACCCATCCACACCCACCCACACCCATCCACACCCACCCACACCCACCCACCAACACACCCACCCACATCAACCCACCCACCCACACCAACCCACCCACATCAACCCACCCACCCACACCAACCCACCCACCCACACCAACTCACCCATCCACACCAACGCACCCACCCACACTCACCCACACCCATACCCACCCACACCCACCCACACCCACCCACCCACACCCACACACCAACACACCCATGCATACACCAACCCATCCACACCAACCCACCCATCCACACCAACCCACCCACCCACACCAACTCACCCATCCACACCAACCCACCCACACTCACCCACAACCACCAACACACCCACCCCAACCCGCAACCCACACCCACCCAAACCCACCCACACACACCCACCCAAACCCACCCACACACACCCACCCACCCACCCACACCCACACCCACCCACCCACACCCACCCACCCACACCCACCCACACCCACCCACACACCCACCCACCCACACCCACCCACATCCACCCACACCCACCCACACACCCACCCACACACCCACACCCACCCACACACCCACCCACACACCCACACCCACCCACACACCCACCCACACACCCACACCCACCCACACCCACCCACACACCCACCCACACACCCACACCCACCCACACACCCACCCACACACCCACACCCACCCACACACACCCACCCACCCATTGTGTCCATGCCCCCCCTTGTGCAGAGCTGGAGCCGCCCCCCCACACGGCTCGCTGTTGGTGGGAGGGGGGGGGGCGGAGGGAGCGGGGGAGCGGTGACGATGGAGCCCAGCGGGGGCCACGGGGGAAGGGCGCTCGCGGTACGAGGGCCACTCACTCGCCGGAGACTGCTGCTGGTGGCGGTGGTGGTGGCGGTGGTGGTGGTGGTGGTGGTGGTGGTTGTGGTGGTGGTGGTGGTGGTGGTGGTTGTGGTGGTGGTGGTGGTGGTTGTGGTGGTGGTGGTGGTGGCGGTGGTGGCGGTGGTGGCGGTGGTGGTGGTGGTGGCGGTGGTGGTTGTGGTGGTGGTGGTGATGGTGGCAGTGATGGTGGTGATGGTGGCAGTGGTGGCGGTGGTAATGGTGGTGGTGGCGGTGATGGTGGCGGTGATGGTGATGGTGGTGGCGGTGGTGTTGATGGTGGTGGCAGTGGTGGTGGTGGTGGCGGTGGTGTTGATGGTGGTGTTAGTGGTGATTGTTGTGGCAGTGGTGGTGTTGGTGGTGGACTAGTGATCCACACTTCACCGGTTCGAGACCATCTCCCAGCGCGGCAGTGGGAATGATGTTGCAGGGGGTGGGGGGGTGGGGGTGACTTTCTTAAATGTCTGTGCAACCAGTACATGTGTATGTGTGTTGTATGTGTGTTGTATGTGTGTTGTATGTATATTGTATGTGTGTTGCATGTGTGTTGCATGTATGTTGCAACGAAGCCAACTGGGCTAATCGGAGGAGCGGGGGAAGAACAGCAAACTAAACAAACACAGCAGTTTTTAAATAAATTAGTTTTCTATTTAATATAGTGGTGTAGTGCATAGTGTAGTATATAGTAGTGCAGTGTAGTAGTGGAGTGTATAGTATGATGGTGTAGTGTAGAGTAGTGTAGTGTATAGTAGTGCAGTGTAGTAGTGTAGTGTATAGTATGATGGTGTAGTGTAGAGTAGTGTAGTGTATAGTAGTGCAGTGTAGTAGTGTAGTGTATAGTATTATGGTGTAGTGTATAGTGTAGTGTGTAGTTGTGGAGTGTATAGAATGATGGTGTAGTGTATAGTGTAGTGTGTAGTAGTGGAGTGTTTAGTATTATGGTGTAGTGTTTAGTGTGGTGTGTCGTAGTGGAGTGTATAGTATTATGGTGTAGTGTATAGTGTAGTGTGTAGTTGTGGAGTGTATAGTATTATGGTGTAGTGTATAGTAGTGTAGTGTATACGAGTGTAGTGTACAGTCGTGGAGTGTATAGTATTATGGTGGAGTGTATAGTGTAGTGTATAGTAGTGATGTATAGTAGTATGGTTTTAGTGTATAAGGAGTGTAGTTTATAGTGCAGTGTATCATAGTGTATTGTGTAGTGTATAGTAGTGGTGTATAATAGTGTATTGTGTAGTGTTTATGGGGAGTGATAGTGTACCGGTTAGCGCGCTGCGCTATGAACCCGGCAACCTGAGTTCGATTCCCGCTCACGGCCAACACTGGTGACGATTATCTGAATCGGCTCTGGGCCTCCCCTATGTCGACTCAGCCTTAAATGAGTACCTGGTGCGGTGTGTAGTAAACATCGCCACTGGGGAGACAAAGGCGGTCGGGCGTGGTGCTGGCCACCCATCCCCTCGTGTACCGTGTCGGCCTTCATAGGTGCTGCTCACTGCACTTGCCCCTACAGTCTGTTAAGGCTTTACGGGGGATCTGTGTCTTTGTGTAGTGTATAGAGCATTGTATGCAGTTTAACATGTATGCTTTCGCGACCAATATCATCCATAAGAGTTTTTTTTGGGTTAGATTGCGTGAATGTAGAAACGTGTCGTTAAAACCCGTCGTCAAATGTTGTGGCTTGGCTCACCAACACACCGGTGTGCTGTACTAGTATACTACACTATACACTACACTATACACTAGTGCTGTACTAGTATACTACACTATACACTACACTATACACTAGTGCTGTACTAGTATACTACACTATACTATACACTATACACTACACTATACACTATTGCTGTACTAGTATACTACACTATACACTACACTATACACTAGTGCTGTATTAGTACACTACACTATACACTACACTATACACTACACTCCTATACACTAGTGCTGTACTAGTATACTACACTATACGCTACACTATACACTAGTGCTGTACTAGTATACTACACTATACACTACACTATACACTAGTGCTGTACTAGTATACTACACTATACACTACACTATACACTAGTGCTGTACTAGTATACTACACTATACACTACACTATACACTAGTGCTGTACTAGTATACTACACTATACACTACACTATACACTAGTGCTGTACTAGTATACTACACTATACACTACACTATACACTAGTGCTGTACTAGTATACTACACTATACACTACACTATACACTAGTGCTGTACTAGTATACTACACTATACACTACACTATACACTAGTGCTGTACTAGTATACTACACTATACACTACACTATACACTAGTGCTGTACTAGTATACTATACTATACACTACACTATAAACTAGTGCTGTACTAGTATACTACACTATACACTACACTATACACTAGTGCTGTACTAGTATACTAAACTATACACTACACTATACATTAGTGCTGTACTAGTATACTACACTATACACTACACTATACACTAGTGCTGTACTAGTATACTACACTATACACTACACTATACACTACACTACACACTACACTATACACTAGTGCTGTACTAGTATACTACACTATACACTACACTATACACTACACTATACACTAGTGCTGTACTAGTATACTACACTATACACTACACTATACACTACACTATACACTAGTGCTGTACTAGTATACTACACTATACACTACACTATACACTACACTATACACTAGTGCTGTACTAGTATACTAAACTATACACTACACTATACACTAGTGCTGTACTAGTATACTAAACTTTACACTACACTATACATTAGTGCTGTACTAGTATACTACACTATACACTACACTATACACTACACTACACACTACACTATACACTAGTGCTGTACTAGTATACTACACTATACACTACACTATACACTACACTATACACTAGTGCTGTACTAGTATACTACACTATACACTACACTATACACTACACTATACACTAGTGCTGTACTAGTATACTACACTATACACTACACTATACATTACACTATACACTAGTGCTGTACTAGTATACTACACTATACACTACACTATACACTAGTGCTGTACTAGTATACTACACTATACACTACACTACTATACACTACACTATACACTAGACTATACACTACACTTCTATACACTACACTACTATACACTACACTATACACTACACTATACACTACACTTCTATACACTACACTACTATACACTACACTATACACTAGTGCTGTACTAGTATAGTACACTATACACTACACTATACACTACACTATACACCACACTATACACTAGTGCTGTACTAGTATACTACACTATACACTACACTATACACTACACTATACACTACACTACTATACACTACACACTACAAACTAAACTATACACTACACTATACACTACACTATACACTAGTGCTGTACTAGTATACTACACTATACACTACACTATACACTACACTATACACTACACTACTATACACTACTATACACTACACACTACACTATACACTACACTGCACACTACACCATATACTACACTATACACTACACTATACACTAGTGCTGTACTAGTATATTACACTATACACTACACTATACACTACACTGTACACTACACTACTATACACTACACGCTAGTGCTGTACTAGTGACGAATTGGCCATGGTCTATTCACGTGACAACCCTTACTAGTTGGCTGTGTCGGGTGGTGGCGGTGTTTTAACGATACATTAAAAAATGTGCGCGATCTAACCAACAAAAAAAAAAACCTCTCATGAGCAGTGTCTGCAATTTGAACTTATCCAACCGTGCTAATCGGAGATGCAAACGCATTGATAGCTACCAGCGACGTGATAACACCACAGTCGATCGGTGTGTGTCGTGTGCGGTGGGGTAAAGTGTGGGTGCTACCTGCCTGTTCCTGCACGTGGAAGAGTAGACCAAGGATAGCTCCCGCCATCTCCCTACCGGTGGAGGCCCCACGGCTGCCCGAAATTGCATCGAGGTATTGTGGGGGCTGCCGCTGGACCTCGCTTGCGCGCTGTGCCGTAGGGGAGAGGACGTTCCTCGGCACCGCTGTGGAGACGGTGCCCAGCGGCGGTGAGAGGCCGGCACGACTGCCGGGGCTGAGCAGGGACGGGTCGCTCGAGAGTAACGAGGTGATCGCGACTCTAGACCCCGAGCAGTCTCCACACCACCACTCTAGCAGACTCCACATCACCACTCTAGCAGACTCCACATCACCACTAGCAGACTCCACATCACCACCCTATCAGACTCCACATCACCACCCTATCAGACTCCACATCACCACTCTAGCAGACTCCACATCACCACTCTAGCAGACTCCACATCACCACTCTAGCAGACTCCACATCACCACTCTAGCAGACTCCACATCACCACCCTATCAGACTCCACATCACCACCCTATCAGACTCCACATCACCACTCTAGCAGACTCCACATCACCACTCTAGCAGACTCCACATCACCACTCTAGCAGACTCCACATCACCACCCTAGCAGACTCCACATCACCACTCTAGCAGACTCCACATCACCACCCTAGCAGACTCCACATCACCACTCTATCAGACTCCACACCACCACTCTAGCAGACTCCACATCACCACTCTAGCAGACTCCACATCACCACTCTATCAGACTCCACCCCACCACTAGCAGACTCCACACCACCACTATCAGACTCCACATCACCACTCTAGCAGACTCCACACCACCACTCTAGCAGACTCCACACCACCACTCTATCAGACTCCACATCACCACCCTATCAGACTCCACATCACCACCCTAGCAGACTCCACATCACCACTCTAGCAGACTCCACATCACCACCCTAGCAGACTCCACATCACCACTCTATCAGACTCCACACCACCACTCTAGCAGACTCCACATCACCACTCTAGCAGACTCCACACCACCACCACTATCAGACTCCACACCACCACCCTAGCAGACTCCACATCACCACTCTATCAGACTCCACATCACCACCACTATCAGACTCCACATCACCACTCTATCAGACTCCACATCACCACCCTATCAGACTCCACATCACCACCCTAGCAGACTCCACATCACCACTCTATCAGACTCCACACCACCACTCTAGCAGACTCCACACCACCACTCTATCAGACTCCACATCACCACTCTAGCAGACTCCACACCACCACTCTAGCAGACTCCACATCACCACTCTAGCAGACTCCACACCACCACTCTAGCAGACTCCACATCACCACTCTAGCAGACTCCACACCACCACTATCAGACTCCACATCACCACTCTAGCAGACTCCACACCACCACTCTAGCAGACTCCACACCACCACTCTATCAGACTCCACCCCACCACTAGCAGACTCCACACCACCACTCTAGCAGACTCCACATCACCACCCTAGCAGACTCCACATCACCACCCTAGCAGACTCCACACCACCACCCTAGCAGACTCCACATCACCACCCTAGCAGACTCCACATCACCACTCTAGCAGACTCCACACCACCACTATCAGACTCCACACCACCACTCTATCAGACTCCACATCACCACCCTAGCCCCCTAGCAGACTCCACACCACCACTATCAGACTCCACACCACCACCCTAGCAGACTCCACATCACCACTCTAGCGGACTCCACATCACCACCCTAGCAGACTCCACATCACCACCCTAGCAGACTCCACATCACCACCCTAGCAGACTCCACACCACCACCCTAGCGGACTCCACATCACCACTCTAGCCCCCTATCAGACTCCACATCACCACCCTAGCAGACTCCACATCACCACTCTATCAGACTCCACATCACCACTCTATCAGACTCCACACCACCACCCTATCAGACTCCACATCACCACTCTAGCCCCCTATCAGACTCCACATCACCACCCTAGCAGACTCCACATCACCACTCTATCAGACTCCACATCACCACTCTATCAGACTCCACATCACCACCCTAGCAGACTCCACATCACCACTCTCACCCCCTATCAGACTCCACATCACCACTCTAGCCCCCTAGCAGACTCCACACCACCACTCTAGCAGACTCCACACCACCACTCTCACCCCCTATCAGACTCCACACCACCACTCTCACCCCCTATCAGACTCCACACCACCACTCTAGCAGACTCCACATCACCACCCTAGCAGACTCCACATCACCACTCTAGCAGACTCCACACCACCACTCTAGCAGACTCCACATCACCACTCTAGCAGACTCCACATCACCACTCTAGCAGACTCCAAATCACCACTCTAGCAGACTCCACATCACCACTCTATCAGACTCCACATCACCACTCTAGCAGACTCCACACCACCACTCTATCAGACTCCACACCACCACCCTAGCTCCCTAGCGGACTCCACCCCACCACTATCAGACTCCACATCACCACTCTAGCAGACTCCACACCACCACCCTAACAGACTCCACATCACCACTCTAGCTCCCTAGCAGACTCCACATCACCACCCTATCAGACTCCACATCACCACTCTAGCAGACTCCACATCACCACCCTAGCAGACTCCACACCACCACTCTAGCAGACTCCACATCACCACCCTAGCAGACTCCACATCACCACCCTAGCAGACTCCACATCACCACTCTAGCAGACTCCACATCACCACTCTATCAGACTCCACACCACCACCCTAGCAGACTCCACATCACCACCCTAGCAGACTCCACATCACCACTCTAGCAGACTCCACATCACCACTATCAGACTCCACATCACCACTATCAGACTCCACATCACCACTCTATCAGACTCCACATCACCACTATCAGACTCCACATCACCACTCTAGCAGACTCCACATCACCACCCTAGCAGACTCCACATCACCACTCTAGCAGACTCCACATCACCACTCTATCAGACTCCACATCACCACTCTAGCAGACTCCACACCACCACTCTAGCAGACTCCACACCACCACTCTAGCAGACTCCACACCACCACTCTATCAGACTCCACATCACCACTCTATCAGACTCCACATCACCACTCTATCAGACTCCACATCACCACTCTATCAGACTCCACATCACCACTATCAGACTCCACATCACCACTCTATCAGACTCCACACCACCACCCTAGCAGACTCCACATCACCACCCTAGCAGACTCCACATCACCACTCTAGCAGACTCCACATCACCACTCTAGCAGACTCCACATCACCACTCTAGCAGACTCCACATCACCACTCTAGCAGACTCCACATCACTACTCTAGCCCCCTAGCAGACTCCACATCACCACTCTAGCCCCCTAGCAGACTCCACACCACCACCCCCCTGTATATCAGACACCGACATGCTAGCGTAGGTGGGTGAGCTGAGTGAGTGAGCAGGTGGGTGGGTGGGGGTGAATGATTGGGTGAGCGTGCGGATGGGCTCCTCCGCCAATTAAACTCGCCGGGTTGATAGCGCAGCTCCGCTGCCAACCCACACACCACCACCACCGCACCACCACACCACTACACACCACCACTACACACCACCACCACACACCACCACCACCACCACCACACCACACACCACCACACACCACCACACCACACACCACCACACACCACCACCACCACACACCACCACCACCACACACCACCACACACCACCACACACCACCACCACCACACACCACCACCACACACCACCACACACCACCACCACCACACACCACCACCACACACCACCACCACCACCGCACCCCACCACCACACACCACCACACACCACCACCACATACCACCACCACCACCACACACCACCGCACACCACCACACACCACCACCCACCACACACCACCACCACACACCACCACCACCACCGCACCCCACCACCACACACCACCACACACCACCACCACACACCACCACCACCAAACACCACCACCACACACCACACACCACCACCACACACCACCACCACACACCACACACCACCACCACACACCACCACCACCACACACCACCACCACACACCACCACCACACACCACCACCACACACCACCACCACACACCACCACCACACACCACCACCACCAAACACCACCACCACACACCACACACCACCACCACACACCACCACACACCACCACACACCACCACCACACACCACCACACACAACCGCACACCACCACACACCACCACCCACCACACACCACCACCACACACCACCACCACCGCACCCCACCACCACACACCACCACACACCACCACCACATACCACCACCACCACCACACACCACCACCACACACCACACACCACCACCACACACCACCACCACCACACACCACCACCACACACCACCACCACACACCACCACCACACACCACCACCACACACCACCACCACACACCACCACCACTACACACCACCACCACACACCACCACCACCACACACCACCACCACACACCACCACCACACACCACCACCACCACACACCACCACCACCACACACCACCACACACCACCACCACACCCCACACACCACCACACACCACCACCACATACCACCGCACACCACCACACACCACCACCACACACCACCACACACCACCACCACCACACACCACCACCACACACCACCACCACCGCACACCACCACACACCACCACCACCACCACACACCACACACCACACACCACCACCACACACCACCACCACACACCACCACCACACACCACCACCACACACCACCACCACACACCACCACCACCACCACCACACACCACCACACACCACACCACCACACACCACCACCACACACCACCACCACCACACACCACCACACACCACCACCACACACCACCACACACCACCACCACAACACACCACCACCACACACCACCACCACACACCACCACCACCACACACCACCACCACACACCACCACCACACACCACCACCACACACCACCACCACACACCACCACACACCACCACCACATACCACCGCACACCACCACACACCACCACCACACACCACCACACACCACCACACACCACCACCACCACACACCACCACACACCACCACCACACACCACCACCACACACCACCACACACCACCACCACCGCACACCACCACACACCACCACACACCACCACACACCACTACACACCACCACCACACACCACCACCACACACCACCACCACCACACCACCGCACACCACCACCGCACACCACCACCACCACACACCACCACCACACACCACCACACACCACCACCACACACCACCACCACACACTACCACACACCACCACCACACACCACCACCACACACCACCACCACACACCACCACCACACACCACCACATACCACCACCACACACCACCACCACCACACACCACCACCACCACACACTACCACACACCACCACCACACACCACCACCACCACCACACACCACCACCACACACCACACACCACACACCACACACCACACACTACCACCACACACCACCACCACACACCACCACCACACACCACCACCACACACCACCACATACCACCACCACACACCACCACCACCACCACCACACACCACCACCACCACACACCACCACCACCACACACTACCACACACCACCACCACACACCACCACCACCACCACACACCACCACCACACACCACCACCACCACCACACACCACCACCACACACCACACACCACACACCACACACCACACACTACCACCACACACCACCACCACACACCACACACCACCACCACCACACACCACCACACACCACCACCACACACCACCACACACCACCACCGCACCGCCGCCACGCCTGGCGTCTGCCGTCCCTCTGAGCCCCCCCGCCCCCCCGCCCATCGCTCGCTCAGCTCACGCTGCCTCCACTCCCCGCCCCCAGGACTCGGACAGCGGCACGGCCGAGCGGCAGCCTGTGGAGAACCGGAGGAACGTCGTCGGCGTCGTCGGCGAGAGGTCCGCCAGGCCAGCCGGCAAGCTCACCGCCTCGGCATCCGGGCCGACGGCCGCGGCCGCAGCCCCGCGGCCGGAAACGGCGGCTGGCAAGGCCGCCGCTGCTCCCGCCGCCGCTCCCGCCATTGCACCCGGCCGGCCCGCCGTAGGGGACGGCCAGCCCGGCACGGCGGCACGGCCGGCCGCGGCAGCGAGAGGGCCGGGCCCCAAGGTAGGCGAGCGCGTGGCGGGCAGGCGAGCGCGGTCGTCACCGTTGAGCGGTTTGTTAAACGACGCTCCCCTCCACCACCACCACCACACCACCACCGCCACCGGTGTGGTGGTGGTGGTGGTGGTGGAGGGGAGTGTTAGCGGTTAGCGTGACGCTGCACCACGAACCCGGCTAGCCGAGTTGGATTCCCGTTCGCAGCGCAGCAGCACCGGTGACGATGATCTAAAACCGGGTCCTGGGCCTCCTCTGGGTCGACTCAGCCTCAAATTAGTACTTGGTGCGGTGTGTAGTAAACATCGCCGCCGGGGAGACAAAGGCGGCCGGGCGGGCGTGGTTGCTGGCCACCCACCCCCTCGTGTGCCTTGCCAGCCTTCACAGGTGCTGCTGCTCGCTAACAGCACTTGCCCCAGCAGTCTGTTGAAGGCTACACGGGGGATCTTTGCCTTTGTCTGTGTGTCATACATGGTGCTGCACGCTAACAGCACTTGCCCCAGCAGTCTGTCAAAGGCTACACGGGGGATCTTGTCTTTGCGTGTAGGTAAAGTTGACGCGCAGGGATTGTGAACCCCGTGACGATTATCTCTAAACCGTTCCAGGGCCTCCTCTACGTTGACTCACCCTCAAATGAGTACCTGGGTGTGGTGCGTAGCAAACATCGCCACTGGGGAGACAAAGGTGGCCGGGCGGATGTGGTCGCTGGCCCATCCACCCCCCCTTTCGTGTGCCACAGTGCCGGCCTTCGTAGGCTCTGCTACTTGCTAACAGCTCTTTCCCCAACAGTCTGTTAAAGCTACACGGGGAGGTGGGGATCCTTGATCTTCGGTAGTGGCCGTGAGCTGGGGGGGGGTCACACGGTGAATCACGTGACGTGGGGGGGGGGGTCATACGGTGACTCACGTGACGTGGGGGGGGGTCACACGGTGAATCACGTGACGTGGGGGGTCACAGGGTGACTCACGTGACGTGGGGGGGGGTCACACGGTGAATCACGTGACCTGGGGGCTCACACGGTGACTCACGTGACCTGGGGGCTCACACGGTGACTCACGTGACGTGGGGGAGGGTCACACGGTGAATCACGTGACCTGGGGGCTCACACGGTGACTCACGTGACGTGGGGGAGGGTCACACGGTGAATCACGTGACGTGGGGGGTCACAGGGTGACTCACGTGACGTGGTGGGGGGTCACACGGTGAATCACGTGACCTGGGGGGTCACACGGTGACTCACGTGACGTGGGGGGGGGGTCACACGGTGACTCACGTCACGTGGGGGGTCACACGGTGACTCACGTGACGTGGTGGGGGGTCACACGGTGAATCACGTGACCTGGGGGGTCACACGGTGACTCACGTGACGTGGGGGAGGGTCACACGGTGACTCGCGTGGGGGGGGGGTCACACAGTGAATCACGTGACCTGGGGGGTCACACGGTGACTCACGTGACGTGGTGGGGGGTCACACGGTGAATCACGTGACCTGGGGGGTCACACGGTGACTCACGTGACGTGGGGGGGGGTCACACGGTGACTCGCGTGGGGGGGGGGGTCACACGGTGAATCACGTGACCTGGGGGGTCTCACTACTGCTGCTACTGCTACTACTACTGCTGCTGCTACTGCTACTACTACTGCTACTGCTGCTACTACTGCTACTACTACTGCTGCTACTACTGCTACTACTACTGCTGCTACTACTGCTGCTGCTACTGCTACTACTACTGCTGCTACTACTGCTGCTACTACTGCTGCTGCTACTACTACTACTGCTGCTACTGCTACTACTACTGCTACTACTACTACTGCTGCTACTGCTACTACTACTGCTGCTACTACTGCTGCTACTACTGCTGCTACTACTACTACTACTGCTGCTACTGCTACTACTGCTGCTACTACTACTAATGCTGCTACTGCTACTACTGCTGCTACTACTACTACTGCTGCTACTGCTACTACTACTGCTGCTACTACTGCTGCTACTACTGCTGCTGCTGCTACTACTGCTGTTACTATTGCTGCTACTGCTACTACTACTGCTGCTACTACTGCTGCTACTGCTACTACTACTGCTGCTACTACTGCTGCTACTGCTACTACTACTGCTGCTACTACTGCTGCTACTGCTACTACTACTGCTGCTACTGCTGCTACTACTGCTGCTACTAATGCTGCTACTACTACTGCTGCTACTACTGCTGATACTACTATTGCTGCTACTACTGCTGCTACTGCTACTACTGCTGCTGCTACTACTGCTACTACTGCTGCTGCTACTACTGCTGCTACTACTGCTGCTACTACTGCTGCTACTGCTACTACTGCTGCTACTACTACTGCTGCTATTACTGCTGCTACTACTGCTGATGCTACTGCTACTACTGCTGCTACCACTGCTGCTACTACTACTGCTACTACTGCTGCTACTACTATTGCTACTACTACTGCTGCTGCTACTACTACTGCTAATGCTGCTACTACTGCTACTACGACTACTGCTACTACTACTACTGCTAATGCTGCTACTGCTACTACTGCTGCTACTATTACTACTGCTGCTACTACTGCTACTGCTGCTACTACTATTGCTACTGCTGCTACTACTGCTGCTACTACTGCTGATGCTACTACTGCTAATGCTACTGCTGCTACTACTGCTGCTAATACTACTACTGCTGCTACTACTACTGCTGCTACTACTATTGCTACTACTACTACTGCTGCTACTACTACTGCTAATGCTGCTACTACTGCTACTACTGCTAATGCTACTACTACTGCTACTACTGCTGCTACTACTACTGCTGCTACTGCTACTACTGCTGCTACTACTATTGCTGCTACTACTACTGCTGCTACTGCTGCTGCTAATGCTACTACTGCTGCTTCTACTACTGCTCCTACTACTACTGCTGCTACTACTACTGCTGCTACTGCTGCTACTAATGCTGCTACTACTGCTGCTACTACTACTACTGCTGCTACTACTACTGCTAATGCTACAACTACTGCTAACGCTATTACTGTTGCTACTACTACTGCTGCTACTGCTCCTACTAATGCTACAACTGCTACTACTACTGCTACTACTGCTACTGCTGCTACTACTACAACTCCTACTGCTACTACTACTGCTACTACTGCTACTACTACTACTGCTGCTACTACTGCTGCTAATGCTACTACTATTGCTGCTACTGCTGCTACTACTACTGCTGCTAATGCTACAACTACTACTGCTACTACTACTGCTAATGCTGCTACTACTACTGCTAATGCTACAATTACTACTAATGCTACTACTGGTACTACTGCTGCTAATGCTACAACTGCTACCACTACTGCTGCTACAACTGCTACCACTACTGCTACCACTACTGCTACTACTACTGCTAATGCTACTACCACTACTACTAATGCTACTACTACTAATGCTACTACTGCTGCTACTAATGCTACTACTACTAATGCTACTGCTACTACTGCTACTACTACTGCTGCTACTGCTGCTACTGCTGCTACTACTACTGCTGCTACTGCTACTACTGCTACTACTACTACTGCTGCTGCTACTACTACTACTGCTGCTGCTACTACTAATGCTACTACTACTGCTGCTGCTACTACTAATGCTACTACTACTACTAATGCTGCTTCTACTGCTAATGCTACAACTGCTACCACTACTACTACTGCTACTACTACTACTGCTGCTACTGCTACTACTGCTGCTGCTACTACTACTACTGCTGCTGCTACTACTAATGCTACTACTACTGCTGCTGCTACTACTAATGCTACTACTACTACTAATGCTGCTTCTACTGCTAATGCTACAACTGCTACCACTACTACTACTGCTACTACTACTACTGCTGCTACTGCTACTACTAATACTACTGCTGCTGCTGCTACTGCTGCCACTGTCGCCGCCGCTGCCGCCGCAGGACCTGGCGGAGCTGCTGCGGGAGATTGGTTGCGGCAAGTATGCCAGCGTGTTCGCTCAGCAGGACGTGGACCTGCGCGTCTTCCTCACGCTCACGGAGACGGACCTCAAGGAGGTCGGCATCGGGTACGGTCCAGGCCCCCCCCCCCCCCCCCCCCCCCCCCCCACCTCCACCCCCCCCCCCCCCCCCCCCACCTCGACGTCCCCAGGGTTCCGGCGAATCCCCTGATGAAGGTCGTTGTTGTCGTTGTTGTTGTTGCTGTAATTGACGACGTGATTGTGACGACGCTATAAACGTTGTAAATGCTGCACACCGTTGTCAAGACATGCCGGTGTTACCCCTTGTCCATGCGGCGAACAGCCGTTTTAATACGGGCAAACACAAATAATGATGATGATAATAATAATACACTGTGTCTATTTGGTAGTGTTCATCCCTCGTGATGGGACTTTGTAGGATGAACGTTGAGATTTGTAAGGAGCACCACGGGGTGACCAATGAGGTCTCAATTGGTCTGTGGTGAAGTAGGGCACTGATAATGGGGTTGATAGGTGAGTAGTGGTGAGTGTAGTGGTGAGTGTGGTAGTGAGTCTAGTGAGTGTACTATTGGTGAGTGTACTAGTGGTGAGTGTAGTGGTGAGTGTGTTAGTGGTGAGTGTAGTGGTGAGTGTGGTAGTGGTGAGTGTACTAGTGGTGAGTGTACTAGTGGTGAGTGTAGTAGTGAGTGTGGTAGTGGTGAGTGTAGTGATGAGTGTAGTGGTGAGTGTACTCGTGTTGAGTGTAGTAGTGGTGAGTGTGCTAGTGGTGAGTGTGCTATTGGTGAGTGTGCTAGTGTTGAGTGTGCTAGTGGTGAGTGTACTAGTGGTGAGTGTAGTGGTGAGTGTGTAGTGGTGAGTGTACTGGTGGTGAGTGTACTGGTGGTGAGTGTAGTAGTGGTGGTGAGTGAGGTAGTGGTTAGTGTACTAGTGGTGAGTGTGGTAGTGGTGAGTGTACTAGTGGTGAGTGTACTAGTGGTGAGTGGTGGTGAGTGTACTAGTGGTGAGTGTTGTGGTGGTGAGTACTAGTGGTGAGTGTAGTGGTGAGTGTAGTTGTGGTGGTAAGTGTAGTGAGTGTGGTAGTGGTGAGTATACTAGTGGTGAGTGTAGTGGTGAGTGTGGTGGTGAGTGTAGTGATGAGTGTACTAGTGGTGAGAGTACTAGTGGTGAGTGGTGAGTGTGGTGGTGAGTGTAGTGATGAGTGTACTAGTGGTGAGTGTACTAGTGGTGAGTGGTGAGTGTACTAGTGGTGAGTGTACTAGTGGTGAGTGTAGTGGTGAGTGTGGTAGTGGTGAGTGTACTAGTGGTGAGTGTAGTGGTGGTGAGTGTATTAGTGGTGAGTGTAGTAGTGGTGAGTGTACTAGTGGTGAGTGTACTAGTGGTGAGTGTGGTAGTGGTGAGTGTACTAGTGGTGAGTGTGGTAGTGGTGAGTGTACAGGTGGTGAGTGTATTAGTGGTGAGTGTGGTAGTGGTGAGTGTGGTAGTGGTGAGTGTACTAGTGGTGAGTGTACTAGTGGTGAGTGTGGTAGTGGTGAGTGTACTAGTGGTGAGTGTAGTGGTGGTGAGTGTACTATTGGTGAGTGTAGTAGTGGTGAGTGTAGTAGTGGTGAGTGTACTAGTGGTGAGTGTACTAGTGGTGAGTGTACTAGTGGTGAGTGTGGTAGTAGTGAGTGTACAGGTGGTGAGTGTGTTAGTGGTGAGTGTGGTAGTGGTGAGTGTACTAGTGGTGAGTGTACTAGTGGTGAGTGTGGTAGTGGTGAGTGTACTAGTGGTGAGTGTAGTGGTGGTGAGTGTACTAGTGGTGAGTGTAGTAGTGGTGAGTGTACTAGTGGTGAGTGTACTAGTGGTGAGTGTACTAGTGGTGAGTGTGGTAGTGGTGAGTGTACTAGTGGTGAGTGTGGTAGTGGTGAGTGTACAGGTGGTGAGTGTATTAGTGGTGAGTGTGGTAGTGGTGAGTGTGGTAGTGGTGAGTGTACTAGTGGTGAGTGTGGTAGTGGTGAGTGTACTAGTGATGAGTGTACTATTGGTGAGTGTAGTAGTGGTGAGTGTACTAGTGGTGAGTGTACTAGTGGTGAGTGTGGTAGTGGTGAGTGTACTAGTGGTGAGTGTGGTAGTGGTGAGTGTGGTAGTGGTGAGTGTGGTAGTGGTGAGTGTACTAGTGATGAGTGTACTAGTGATGAGTGTACTATTGGTGAGTGTAGTAGTGGTGAGTGTACTAGTGGTGAGTGTACTAGTGGTGAGTGTGGTAGTGGTAAGTGTACTAGTGGTGAGTGTGGTAGTGGTGAGTGTACTAGTGGTGAGTGTAGTGGTGGTGAGTGTACTAGTGGTGAGTGTAGTAGTGGTGAGTGTACTAGTGGTGAGTGTACTAGTGGTGAGTGTGGTAGTGGTGAGTGTACTAGTGGTGAGTGTGATAGTAGTGAGTGTACAGGTGGTGAGTGTGTTAGTGGTGAGTGTGGTAGTGGTGAGTGTACTAGTGGTGAGTGTACTAGTGGTGAGTGTACTAGTGGTGAGTTTGGTAGTGGTGAGTGTACTAGTGGTGAGTGTACTAGTGGTGAGTGTACTAGTGATGAGTGTACTAGTGCTGTGTGTACTAGTGGTGAGTGTATATTTGTTTGTGTTTCTCCATTCTAATGGGACCTTTTGGGATGAGCGTTAAGATTTATAAGGGGCATGGGGTGACGAATAAGTCTGATAAGGTAGGACACTGATAAGGGGTTTACGGCTATGAAATGTTGGTTTTGGTTTTACCGTATTTACCCGCATATAACCCGCGGGGTATACCACTTTTTACCAACAAAACAAGACCCTGCGGGGTATATGGCGGTGCGGGCAATCCCAAAAATATTGTACACGTGTGACATGTCAGGCCTGGTTAATGTGTTCATGGTAGGACTATCCAATATGCCACAATTACCTTTGACTAAAGCACTGCTGGGAGGGAGAGGTGGGGGTTGGGGGGTGGGGCAGCTTTGGGGAGAGAGAGAGGTGGGGGTTGGGGGGTGGGGCAGCTGGGGGGAGAGAGAGGTGGGGGGGGGGGGGGGGGGAGAGAGAGGTGGGGGTTGGGGGGTGGGGCAGCTGGGGGGAGAGAGAGGTGGGGGGGGTGGGGGGAGGGAGAGGTGGGGGTTGGGGGGTGGGGCATCTGGGGGGAGAGAGAGGTGGGGGGAGGGAGAGGTGGGGGTTGGGGGGTGGGGCAGTTGGGGGGAGAGGTTGGTGGGGGGGTTGTGGGCGAGGCGACGGCGTTACCGTAGTGCCGCTATTATCTGCGCAGTGCGCAATCTACCAGTGCTAAAACTGTACTTACTTATCTAGCAGTTCCGTGTCACTTATTTATTGGGTATTTACTTTTGTTACTTATTTACTGTTTTAAGTTCACTCGTATCCGGTTCGTTTGTTTTATTTGTGCACGTTGTGCTTTTAATATTAACGATTGATTGTTGGAATGTTTTACAAAAGTAAACTTCGTATTAATATGATGGAATTAAGATGCTGTAACGATGTTAAAGATATGAATGTGTGCGGGGTATGTGGAGGCGTGGGCTATCTGAAATTTGTTTTACACAAAACGCTATTGTCGCGTGGTATATGCGGCTGCGGGTTGCTGTGTGAGGGAAAAAGTAATTGATTTCCTGCTGATTTTGTACGTTTGCCCACTGACAAAGACATGATCAGTCTATAATTTTAATGGTAGGTTTATTTGAACAGTGAGAGACAGAATAACAACAAGAAAATCCAGAAAAACGCATGTCAAAAATGTTATAAATTGATTTGCATTTTGACCCCCTCTCAATCAGAAAGATTTGTGGCTCCCAGGTGTCTTTTAAACAGGTAACGAGCTGAGATTAGGAGCACACTCTTAAAAGGAGTGCTCCTAATCTCAGCTTGTTACCTGTATAAAAGACACCTGTCCACAGAAGCAATCAATCAATCAGATTCCAAACTCTCCACCATGGCCAAAACCAAAGAGCTCTCCAAGGATGTCAGGGACAAGATTGTAGACCTACACAAGGCTGGAATGGGCTACAAGACCATTGCCAAGCAGCTTGGTGAGAAGATGACAACAGTTGGTGCGATTATTCGCAAATGGAAGAAACACAAAAGAACTGCTAATCTCCCTCGGCCTGGGGCTCCATGCAAGATCTCACCTCGTGGAGTTGCAATGATCATGAGAACGGTGAGGAATCAGCCCAGAACTACACGGGAGGATCTTATCAATGATCTTAAGGCAGCTGGGACCATAGTCACCAAGAAAACAATTGGTAACGCACTACGCCGTGAAGGACTGAAATCCTGCAGCGCCCGCAAGGTCCCCCTGCTCAAGAAAGCACATATACATGCCCGTCTGAAGTTTGCCAATGAACATCCGAATGATTCAGAGGACAACTGGGTGAAAGTGTTGTGGTCAGATGAGACCCAAATGGAGCTCTTTGGCATCAACACGGTACCCTGCAGCACCGCACACAACCGGTGAGTGCTCAAGTAGTAACTTGTTGGCACGTTTTGTCCATTTGACAAACCTCACTAATCTCTGTGCGTGCGTGCGGGTGTGTGTGCGTGCGGGTGTGTGTGTGTGTTTGCATGTGTGCGTGTGTGTGTGCGTGTGTGTGTGCGTGTGTGTGTGCGTGTGTGTGTGTGCGTGCGTGCGTGTGTGCGTGCGTGTGTGTGTGTTTGCATGTGTGCG